CATGCTTTGTTTGGATCATATTCAGACCAAAATCAGATTATATTTCACTTATTAAATCTCAAGGTTCAAAGAGTTTGAAAACAAAATTCTAACTATGAGTTCAAGCCATAAAGTCAAATCAGTCTGAATCAGATTCAGACATATGATCCAAATAAAGTGCAAATTAGGTTTAAACTAGACTAGAACAAGCTCAAATTATAGTGGAGCCATGAGTTTGAATCATGTTGAGTACAATCATTTCATCGTGATTATTATTTAGTAAAAAGTCTTAATGTATATCCAGATATGACCATTTATTTAATTAAGGCTTCTTCTATGAGTATGACATAAGGATTAACAAGTCTTGTGAGCTGGAAGGCTCATATCTAAAAATCAAGACAATCTCAAGTGGTGCTCACCCGCAGAGTGATCAAGCGGAACCCACCAGTCAAAATAATCAGACTGAACCCACCTGCCTAAGTGTTCGATCAACCTCGGGATGAACCGACTGTCGTAGAAGATTGTCATTGCATTTAAGAACATGTGCTCATTCTTATTGAAAATGTTGCTTGACATCCACGTCGTGACATTTTCTTCAAGACACAAGAAACATGTGCAGTATTGTACAGAATTTAATTTTATAATTTTTTTATCTTTTCTTTTGTCAATGAGGAGAGGGACAAAAAAGAGGTCGAGTTCTCCCTCTCTCCCGCCTAAAAATAAAAAACTCATCCTCTGAACCATTCTCTCCTAAAATTGAGGGGAAATAATCAAGAACCTGAGTGCTAGAGACTCCCCTATCACTTGCTTCCACACCTCTCAGGTTGTGTGAGCTTACGAACAATACGAGATTTTATGTCCTAAAATGATTGAACACATAAATATTATTTAAAAAATTCAAACTCATAATTTAGCTATTACATTGTGGTGGTATATATATATATATATATATATATATATATTGCTAATGATAATTCTATACATAGTGTTTCTTGCTCATCTTGAATGTTTTCATTATATTGAGATAAAGCATCAGTCTTCATGTGATTCATTTTAATGTACTTGTTATCTTATCTGAAAACATGTAATTTAAAAAATGAAATATTTTAAAATTTAGGTGTACTTTTTAAACATCAAATTTATAAATTACACGGCTTATAAAAATGCACATGCTCATAGAACTGATAGTTTTATAATCTCATAATTTTGAAAATAAATGAAAGAAAATATATCATATATTTGAGATAACAACATTTACATATATATTAAAAAAGTTTATGTATTCACCTAACTAATACCTAAATTATATTTAATTATATAACCCACTAATTTTAAATCCCATTTAAACCTTTAATTATCTAAATTGGAGGACATCCTATCATTTTTTTTGTTTCCTTCCAACATTAAAATTTCAAAATATAGAGCAAAAAATTCATAACATAAACAAAGCAACAATAGGAAATGCTTCTCCCTGAGAAAATATTACATTGGGATTTTGAATGCATTCAGAGTTCAATGGTTGGGCGTCACGTGTTAAGTAGGCTCCACTTAACACCTGGCGCTCTGTTATTGGACTCAAAGCACAAATTTTGTTAAGAGTCATGATATAATATTTTCTACTTCTCCCAGTTCCCCGTCCCAATCTCCTTTCAGCCACTCCGCAGCCAAAACCACAAACATGAACCATCTCATCTGCCACACTCACCGCCGATCTCCAGTCTTTCTTAACT